TGGTACCGTAACATTTTCATTTTTTTAGTACCGACTTGGTACCGAAATACCGGGTCTTTTGACAACACTACTCTGTACGTTTATTGTACATTTGCGATCGTGCAGATATAAAAAAAAAAAAATAGGACTCTTGTTTGTGTGACAAAGCTATGCTTATATAATAGGACTTATTATAAAAACAGTTATAAAAACAGAAACTCATTAAATTGCTTTTTTTTTTTATTTATAAACATTTTGATGACATTTCTTCCCCACTATGTGTAATGGCAGTAAGACGAGAGAGCGCTCAAAACTCATCAGATGATCGCATAATTTAGTGGAACATTAATATAGTAATATAGAATCATCCTCTGTAAAGAAATGAGGTGTGAGCATTTGAGAAATTATCATTGTCTTTCTAAATGTGCACTCTTTGGGGCTAAAGGCTTAATGGAGCTGTTTAAAGTAGCCATGTGATAACAAACCAATCGGTGCAGACGCGATTCAGTGTCACGTATTATACGTGTGTCCTTCTTCTATGTGAAATAATCATAAATGCCAGTTTATGTTGTTTGATTGAGGCCTCGAATGTCGTAGTTGTAAGCTGTAGTTTTTTTTTTTTAAACTGGCCCCTTTAGATCTTGCGTGCGCAGTGGAAATGCGGCTAATAATTTCTGAATTCTGACTGGCATATAACGAACAAATCAAACAAACATAAACGGGCAAAGGCGAGGGCCCCTACAAGGCGGGGCCCACTCAAGCCCAATGGTAAGTCCGGCCATTATAGTGATGCAAAGCAGAATTTTCAGCAGCCATTACTCCAGTCTTCAGTGTCACATGATCCTTCAGAAATCATGCGCGCTCAAAACTCATCAGATGATCGCATAATTTAATGGAACATTAATAGGCTACAGAATCATCCTCTGTAAAGAAATTAGGTGTGAACATTTGAGAATTTATCATTATCTTTCTAAATGTGCGCTCTTTGGGGCTAAAGGCTTAATGGAGCTGTTTAAAGTAGCCATGTGATAACAAACCAATCGGTGCAGACGCGATTCAGTGTCACGTATTATACGTGTGTCCTTCTTCTATGTGAAATAATCATAAATGCCAGTTTATGTTGTTTGATTGAGGCCTCGAATGTCGTAGTTGTAAGCTGTAGTTTTTTTTTTTTAAACTGGCCCCTTTAGATCTTGCGTGCGCAGTGGAAATGCGGCTAATAATTTCTGAATTCTGACTGGCATATAACGAACAAATCAAACAAACGTAAACGGGCAAAGGCGGGGCCCCCTACAAGGGCCAAGCCCATGGGCTGCAGCCCACTCAAGCCCAATGGTAAGTCCGGCCATGGCAAAGATAGTCGTGTTATTTTATTATGCTTTGAAGAAACGTGCATAATATTTTGCTCGATGCGCCCTCTTGTGGCCTCAGGAGAGAAGCCAACAGCTTTTTTCCCCCCAACTGAAATTATGCCTTTTAAATTCTAATATAATTTGAATATTGATAATATTTAAGTAGAAAAATTTAATTTAGTTTATCAGCCATTTTGACAGCCCTATTTGACACTGTCCATCATTTAGATATTTTTGTCTGATATCATGCTAAATGGTCACTGGAAAATGACCACAAGTTTTGTACAGCTCATGCAGTGCATTAAAAAACAATTTGCTAGGATATCAGTATTTAGTTATGCAGACCAAGAGCATTCACAACTTTGTATGTTTAAATAAGAGAAATAAATGCGAGAAATCTGTGAATGAATTGGATCAACTGCAGCAGAATGATTGCTAGAAGTAGTCTTCCTGCAAGTCCTGAGAATCGTTCTCAGCGAACTGGTTGTGTAAAAGGCTTGAGCAGCTGATACATTTTCCTTCACGTCTAGAGTTGTAAGTAGACATGAGGATGATTATACGTGTAACATGTGGGTTAAGCAACAATGTCTTTGTGTTTAACTTATCCCAAACTTAAATTCCTTTAACTCTGGTATTATGTTATGTAAATGCTTTTGTTATGGTTAAAATATCACTGTAGATTAAAAATATCCAGCTAATGGTTTTTGATGAGAGATCCACAAAACATTTTTTTTTTGTTAAATTGGTAGTGTTTAAGTTTTAATGCATTTAAATAGCAGTTCAAAAGAGGGAATCAGATCCTGAGAAATAATGTTTATTTACAGCTGTGTTGCGTTGTTTGACAACTTAGGATAAAAAAATGTCTTTGTGAGAAATTTGTAATGTGCAAAATGGACCTGAGGGAAGGCATTCAGGGAAATGTATGTTCTTTAATAGTTTTAATTTAGAGAGATACAAAATGTTACAAATACAATAAAAACCACTCAATACAAAAGTATTGTATTAATCTAGGATTATAAAATGATAGCACTTGTCTCACAGTACAAATTAACCTAAATGTCTCCTGACATCTTTAACCAGGGCAGTTCTTGCTTTTATATTTCCAATTATTCTCAAAACGATCCTTAAAGAAAAGAGGGACCTACATCAACAACAATAGTTAAATGTTCATTAAACTTCTGGAAATACACTGTTACGGTAGGATATGAAGTGCTAATTTTTCACTGAATCTCACTTGCGGATCCTGAAGGAGGCATGTTTGAACTGTATGTCTACAAGGACTGTCTTTCTCCATGCCAGATAACTTGCAATCACATAAAAGAAAATATTATGAAAGCCCTTTGCTGATCTAAGGTATAGAGTGCTTTTTAAAGACTTAAACCTGTGAGGGTTTGTTAACATCTGTTGAAGTGTTTTGAGCAGGGAAAACTAACATGCATTCATAAATATGAATAAAAAACAAATAGGCTGGCAAAGCACTCATACAGTAGTGATGTGTTCATTATTTACATGTAAATAAACCACTATTTGCATTTTGTCATGGCAGTGTAACAGACATTCAGTAATTATCACCATTAAATTTTAATGAATA